TTAGGGTTGCTTTTAAGGGAGGGGTGGTTTACAATTAATGTAAACACACTTTCAATCTTTCATTGGACCTTTTTGTCTTGGGTGTAATGCTTTTCCATTTCAGACCACGTGTCATTCCCTAGAGTATCATTCCTTTGTTTCATGGTTGCACATGAGAAGACACATGAATATGGATACAACTCAAACAAAGAATCTTATTCTCAAGACCATGTGTCATTCCCTAGAGTATTATTTCTTTGTTTAATGGTTGCACATGAGAAGACACATAAATATGGATACAACTCAAACAACGAATCGTATTCTCAAGAGAATGACACATGGTCTGAAATGGGAAAACATTATGCCCAAGCGAAAAAGGTTCATTGCATAAGCAAAGGTGATGTAAACTACTGACAAGTATTCAGGCCAGTTGATAACTAGCATTCCATATTAAATACCTTGACTAGATCTAGATCCTGTTGTCTACAGCAAATAATGACTTTGGGCTCAAGTAGTTGAAAGAGACCCTATGACGAAGAGACAAAAATAAATAAACAAATAAGAAGTCTGCATCTCTCCCCCAGGAAAGGACAGCCCAATAGATGCTTCGTACCATCACGTGATGGCTGCCATGACAGGAGATAGGAACAATTGAAGACAGATCTACATGAGAAAGAATTCAGTTTCCCARGGGGAAGATACCTTCTTGTTTTGCCTCCTGACACGACTTTCAAAACGTGAAGGTGAAAAGTCTCTATTCTTCCTAACCCTACTTCCCTAGGGAATTACCCTATATAAGAATTTTCAACAATACAAAGACRAATCAAGAGAACAAATGTTAGCCAATCAGAATCAAGACAATTTGCAAAACTGAGGTGGGATTACATCAATGTTAAATTACATACGGTGTATGTCATGTTTTAGTGAAGTCTCACCTGTGTCATTAGCCCTTGTAAAACTTCTTTATATTTAGCAGAGTCTTTAGTTACTGATCCCAACTGCTCCCTACATTCCTCTAGAACACACTGGAAATGAATTGTAATAAGATCTTTAAAAAATCTTTWAAAAATCTACAAAGCTTTTTGCTGTTGTATCACAGCRTGGGACAATCACAACAGAGCTAGGMTCCAAACTAAGTGAAAGCCCAAAGATCGAAATAGAATTTAGGAGTTGATTTTTGAGGAGGGAGGAAAACCGGAGAACCCRAAAAACCCTCAAAGCACAGGAGAGAACYAACAAACAACTCAACTCACATACGACATYGAGATCCGCAGGACTCGAACCCGGGCCGCATTGGTGAGAGGCAGTGCTTCCCTAAAATCTGTAGTTTAGATTTAGAATGYGTCAGAGGTGCTGGTCTATTTTGTTAATGTTATGTTGTCGGGGTTGAACTGAGTTTTTGTGTCTTGCTRTGTATGTATAAATATGTATATTCGTATACATTCCATTTTTCTCATAGTTTTTGTTCTCTTTGTATGTACTGGGTTACAACCTACTCTGTAAGGGAAGCTGTTTCCTGTTTCGGGTTCTCCCCATAGTTTGTTTTTCTTTCTTATGCAGTGTTAAACCATTAAAGTTACTTAAGGCACTGTATTTGAAATGTTTATTCTCATAGTTGCTTCCAATGCAAAGGTTTATTTATTGTTCAAATTACCTTTACATGATCATCTTGAGCTTTAAGAATCTTTAGTCTTGACTGATTCAATAGGTTGGAACGCTGACTGTGAAAAAAGAAAAAAAGGCTCAAAATATATAACCTTGAAATCTAAGAAGGTTATTAAAACAACCATACAGGGCTCTTTTCTTGAGTTTGACTAACATTTCCAAAGGTTCATTTGGTAGGCAATCAAAATCATAATTCTTGGGTTGCATGTTACGTCATAGCCGCCATGTTGGTTGACGATAACAAAGCAATCCTCATTTGCTTCTCTTGTTTGATCAGCCAACATGGTGGCTGTTTTATTTATATCTCAAGGGATTTTGAGTCATATGGGTGTACTCCAAGAATTCTGGAAATAAATTTATATCAATGAATATGCTACTGAAAGGGGATTGTAGTTCAAGTGACAAAAGATCCTGAAAAGAGTACATTTGTGATTGTTGGAGCATAACGACCAATCACCTTACTTGTTGTGAAAAAACATTTTGCAATCATGTCGACCAGTCATACTTTTGAGCTAGGAGGTGTATATACTTACATAGAGTTTTAATTTCTTAAAGCACATTTGATCATTTTGATGGAAAATGCACTATATAAGTTAATAAAGATTATTAACAATAAATAGTACTTACATTTTCTTTCTCAGTTCAACTTGTTTTTCTTTGCGTTCATAAACATTCATAATCTTAAGCCTCTCATTTTGAACCAGCCTACCCTTTTCAATATTGAATTCCTCCTCAGCCTAAAACATATGAACATGAAAAAATTATCCACAAAGTTGAGTTGCAAGACCCATTGTATCTTGCAATGTATTTTATTATCTGGGCTTCCTGTGGTAAAAATGGAGGGATGCGAGAGATGGAAGAAAAGTAAAGTATTCTTGCTTTTTCGTTTATCCTAGATTTTTATGATGCATAAACCCACTATTAGAGTAATAAAGAATGTACGCAGTAGCTCATAAAAGAGGCATTTTGCAGCAGCTTTGTTGCATGACAGGAACAATGYAATGCTTTTTTTAGACAAGAGATTTCTTTTCCCTAAGGAAATTTTTTTTGGTTCTACGACATGGTTGCAGTGAAACCACTTAATTAAAATAAGAACATTTTAGTAATTTCAAAAACAATGTAAACCTGCCACTATAAATTTTKGTGTGCTCTTTTGACTATTAGGAATTGATTACTATATCTATTTTATATATTGCTTTTATTAATTTTGTCAAAAAAAAAAATTCACTCCAACTGACAATCACATGACTGTCATCATGTACAATGTGCTATATCTAATACTATATTCTGATTCACGCGGGAATAATACAATTTTATACAATAAATAATTTTGCGATTAAGTAAATGTTTTTCAGACGAATGGGATAAGCAAACAAAAATAAACTGAGCGTATTTTACAATAAATAAAGACGAAATCTAATCTAATGTYTTATTCAAGAAAAAACATGGCCGACAGCATTACATTACAATACACATCACTCTTAACCTTCGTAATCTCTTTAGAATAAATCTTACCTTTGCATCAATCTCTTCTGACTTTTCTTTGGCTTCTTGCTCTATAAAAGCCATCATATGCGCAATCTGTGGCAAAGGAATAGGCAAGAGAAAGAKCTTAATTTATATCAAGACCATCTTCGACTTCAGGTATTCGCCCAAAATTTATTAAAATTGTAGGTACTAATTCAACCCCAAAGTCCTCAATATATAAACAAATAATAAGATTATTGTCTAAACTTACCTGTTTTTTAACTTCTGCATCGTTGATCGACATTTTTATGGCTAAATTTCGCAAGAAATACTGCGTGTTTTCTTAAATACAAGTCGGGTTTTGGTTCTAAAAGGAGAAGATGCAGTCATCTACGATGGGCAACACCGCTGGTAACAYCAATCCCAGCATCCTTTTCGACCTTCATATAACCATAGGAAGCCCAAATTGAGTTCTTAATCTGATGAGTCCCTGATGAATGTTAAGTTTGATCGTAATGTTTTCCCATGTCAGATTACGCGTCACTCTCTTGAGAATAWGATTATTTGTTTGAGTCGTATCTATAATTYAATAAGATTTCTCATGCGCTACCGTTAAACAAAGAAATCATAATGTAGAGGAATGACACGTGACTTGTTTTCTTTTCTTCTAGAATACTTCCACGTTAAATAGTAGGATGTCTTCCTCTAATGCTTCTCGTGTCGGGTAATACTGTGATATTCCTGCTCCTCTAAGATCTTCCTCCTTTCTACTTACAGCTAGGTATAACCCCATTTCGTCACACCTTCAACCTCTACCTCTCTTTCATAAAACACCTTACACACCTCAGCTACAGTGAACTCCACATCTAAACTAGGATATAACGCTTTAACATCTGCCGAACCCACAACTATATCTTTATTTACTTCTTATCCTTAAACCTTCATTAGCCTTCTTTATCCCAGCCATCATATCTTCTGTGCTCATACACACACCGTTCTCCTCCTTCCATACTTCATTCAGAATCTTACTCATCATATGAGATAATCGTTGGTTGTAAGCCGTAACTGCTCCACAAACTGGTCTTACAGATGGTCCAACAGCTTCGTCATCCATCGTCTTGCGATCTTTTCGGAGTGCGTATAACGGTTCAAGAGGAATAGTAATAAATAGTCCTTTAAGCCTCACTCAGTGTGGTATCTATGGTAATTGTGTGACCTCTCTCCTGTGTTTTAGCACGTGATTCAGCATAACCACTGAGTTAGGGATTTTCGACGGTCTTTCTCGTTTCCCTGTTGGAATAAAATGAAAAGAAATGGCAAAAACAGAGGAATAAATGCATAGAATCTCATTGAGTACCCTTAACCGTTTCTTTTCAATAAAAGCCATATATTTCATTGATTTCTTAAAATAATTGCCTCAAAGCAATTCTTTGAGCAATGTCAGACTTTCAACTTTGATTTTAAATTGAAATAACGAAGAAAAAAATTATTCGATTCCGATAATCCCCTCAAGAAAAGTCCAATCCAAGGAGTAAATCCAGTTCYTGATATTCCACAACTTTGGATTTTAAGGCAAAAACTACCATATTCTAAAAGAGCAAAAGAAATGGTTATCAATGGTGCAATTGGTTTTGCTTTTTTCGTAAAAAAACCTAATGGTTTCACGAGCAATAAATGTTCAAACCCGCAAGCCCCTGTACGCCATTACTCACACCTACCCCTCCCCTACCGCATGTGGTTCTACAACCTAACCGTATCTAGGCAGATAGAAAGAACATGCACTGCTATTGTACTACTAATCTTCATACGGTATATATTATCTTCAAGATCTGCAAAAACGGAATTAAGGCATTTTGAGATCCTTGTCGACCAATTGCCAGTCATTTAGACCGCACTCATATACAACAACGCTATAATGACTGGATGTTTTTTTTTTTCTTTTTTTTTTTTTTTTTTTTTTTTATATCCAGCCCAATACACGCATTAACACGAACCAAACTATCTTATTATTATTAAGGATTTATTACATTATTTTTGGCTGCATTTTTGAAATAAATTGAACTGCCGTCCATCTAGTATTTCAAAATCCTTGATCGGCTGCCGGTCATTTAGACATTATTAGACATTATTTCTACTACCAAGATGCTTTGCGAATTTTCTTTCTTATTCAAATTTATATTCCCTCATGAGAATAGTAAGACAATTGGTGCTAATTAACTGAACAAAAGAAAGCGTGCAAGGGAGTCTGGTAGTAGAGGTCAATGAGATCGTGCAAACGTCCTATTAGCAATTATCCCGAATTTCTAAACTTCTTTTGTTTAATTAAGAACAAAAGAAGGTGAGAAATTGGGGATAAAATCGCACGTGCAGTGGAATCGATTTCTTAAACTATGAAAAGGCTTATTACGCCATCACTTACACCTTCCCCTCCCCCATGGGGTTTAGTACTACAATTGGACTTTGGGAGCAAAAACCTAGCGGTTTGTAGACAGATGTGCTATTGCACTGCTAACAACATATGCAGTGTAGTAATAACAGCATGTTGTAAGTTTTTGTATGTGATCTTCAGATCTGTCAAAACTGAAATGCATATTGAGATTCTTCAAGAGGGAGTCGGGGTTTAACCCCCCCCTCTCCCCCTCCTTTTAGTTTTATGAAAGTTTTTGGTTACGTACGCAAATAAACGTGTTTTCTACCATTTTTATCTTTATATTTTTTATAATTAAAATTTATAGAACATCAAAATCGTTATTGATTAGATAATTTAAAAAGCAAGTTAAATATAAATTCGCCAAGATCTTCACCATRAAATCTTCTTACTTGTTCCTTGGAAATGGCGAGAAAGGCATAAAGATAATATTTAACTATACAAGAGAGTAAGACGTTTTCGTGGCAAGGAAAACTGAACAACTGAGCTGGACCAGTTAGAGTGCAAATAATATACCCGTGAAATAGATAGCTAGCTAACTAATTACTAACTTTGTGCTATTGGTTGCCTAAGTCTAATTAGTCAAAGAAATAGGCGAGCCGTGACGGGTGAACTAGTGCACGTGTGCTACTCAAGGGCGCGCATTTTTAAATATTTTTCTCGAACGAATTATTTACGAGCAAGATTTCCAATCTTACGGTACGTATTACAATGAATTCATTTGTTTTTATTTAGTTTTGTGAACCATGTGGACTTCATGTGTTTCTTGGATTTCATGCTACTTGGCCGTCCAGGTCTTACAGGCCATGTCTTTTTAAATGCAAGATATCTCATCCTAATTGCAACGAAATTACAAATGGAATTTCTGTGATGTTCATAGAATTAACGTGTTTTATTTCAAACTGTTTTCAGACTTAGCCATGGACCCTAAACTTCAGGTAAGAAATCAATTTTCTCTACGACTTTCTAAGTTATGTAGGCATAGGCTATTTGCTGAGTTAGCTGTTGAGTTGAGTTTGAGTTGAGTTTGAGTTTGAGTTTGAGTTTGAGTTGAGTTTGAGTTGCGCGATGGGAGGCTTTTACCTGGTCTAGAAAATACTTCTTATTCCATTTTCCGTTGAAAATATGCTTTAAATTGCAAAATCGMCGAATGTTTACCATTCCACTTCACATAAGTCTTTTTTATCAAACAATTGCCTTACAAGAGTTGTACATTGAAAAGGCATTGAGGCGAATGTGAAAAGCGCTGTTATGAGCACCACATCATTATGTTATTACCATTATAAATATGGTTCGTGTTMTTCTCGTGAACCTTTTTTGAACATGTTTACAATTTAGACTAGAGTAACAAATAAGCAGTGTGACCTATATACCGGTACGTAGTTCAACCGGAAGTCTCACCGATATGTCTCTTGGTAGGTAGATCGAGTTGAAAATATTAAAAACAAGTTAAGAGAGGATTCTTCTCGTATTCAAGCAGTGAGCGCCAAAAACTATTGTCATGAAAAAAGGCTGTTGTACAAGGCTAAAATCTTATTATTCAGTCGAAAGTTTAACTTGTTTGGAAGTGGAGATAACCGATGAAAGTGGAATCAAAGTGTTAACCCAAAATAAAAAAATTATTCAAAAATGAGGTTTAGGCCTTCGTTTGCTTATTTCCCGTATATTTTCTATAAAAAAAGCCTGACAAAGCAACATTCTAACACAAATGCAACAAAACATCTTTGTTCAATTGAAAATACCGCTTGAAACAGGCATTTTATCATAGCACATCAGTTTATAAGTGTTTAAAAAAGGTTTTGAGTGTTAACCCAAGACGAAAATTGGGATAAAAACTCATATGAAAGTCTAGTTTTTAGCGCTTTTTGCCATTTTTGCTTAACACATTTCCTCTTAATGTGTATCATCGTCAGAATGAGTTTGTTGATAAACACGAGGTATCGCTTTTTCTTTATTATAATATGGGTGAGTTGAGAAAAATGAAGCAGTAAGCGACTAAATTTGTTTAAAAAATATCAATTATTAAGTAAATAAAAACAAAAAGGATAAATAAACAAATACAAAAAGGAAAAAAAAAAACATGTGACAAGATCATTTAGGAAACTCAACTCAAACTCAACTCAAA